AAAAAAAAAAAACATGCCTCTCAATTTACAAGACAAACCATATGTCACTCGTCCCATATAATAAAACTAAAATTAAATTCTCCCTCTTTTTTCTTTTTATTTCCTTTGTAAACTCTAATTAATTCCTTTAACAAACCATCTCAATTTATTTATTTATTTATTTATTTATTTTTTTTTCCTTTGTAAACATTTCTTCTTCCTCTTCAACATCATCATCATCTCATGCATACCCACAATACCCCAACTCACACCTAACCCCTTTCCCACACTTTTTATTGCACTTTCCACAATTGCCCCTATCCCTCAACACATTCTTGCAAACCCCGCCGCAACACCGCTCTCCGAGGCGGCACTTGTGGCCGCACCGCCCGCAATTGTTCCGGTCTCCGAGCACATTCCGGCAATGCTTCTTGCAACAATGGAGGAGGACCGATCCTCCGTTCGCGTGCACGCCGTTGCAAACGTAAGGGTTCGTTCTCGAGTCGCAATTCATGCCCTTCTTGATTTTCTTGACGGCCGAGGCGAGAAAACGGCTCCTCCTCACGGTCGAGTTATTCGAGGATGATTCGGAGTCGAGCACGTATTCTTCGACTTCGTTCTCGTCGTCCTCGTCATCGAGGAATGATGACGTGGCGGCATGGGATTGGTGGACAACAAAGGCTATGAGGATGAGGAGGAGGAGCATTAGGGTTTTGGTAGCCATTTGTGCCTTTTTGGTGGTGTTGAGGAGGTTTGTGTGGGTGGTGTGGGATTTAAATAGGTGTTAGGGATTTGGGATTGTGTGTTTAAGTTGATTAAGGATTATTATTATTATTATTATAATTCAAATTGATTAAGGATTATTATTATTATTTAAAGGGGGTGGGAAATTTTGAATTTAAGCATGTTAGGCTAAGTTCAGGGCTCATGTGGAGCTCAATTTTGTCGGCAATTTTTGTGTTTATATTGTAATTTGTAATAAATTGGTCATCTCTCTCTTGTACAATTGGATTTATTTTTTTTTTAAAAAAATTAAATTAGAATTTTTATATTGTCAGGTGATTAATATATATGAGTGGAGATAATTATATAATTTAGAATTATGTACGCGGGTTAATTCAGGACGTGAGCAGGTGGAAGAAGATCTAACTTTTTGTGACAACTGACAATTGGCTTTATTTAATAGTGGTATATTTATATGTAATATAAATTTTATATACGGAGTGTTAAGTGTAAGCCGTCTAACTGTTAGGCAAAGTGACATGTCATACTATATGAATAAAAATATATATTTATATTGTCAAATACTCAAATATCATATTAATGTTTTTATTTTATTTATGAAAATACGAGTTCTTCTAATGAAATTTATACATATTTATAGAGTGAGAGCTAGTATAATGGTCAGACGGGCCTAATACAAGACCAACCGAATTTTATATATATATTGTATGATATAAAATTGCAGCTTTAAGTTAAGTTCGACTAATATTTTTCAATAAATATGCATATTTTTATGTTGAATTAATTTTAACATGGAAAAAAATACAATATTTAATGTTTAGACATAATATATATCCTCTTCATTTGTGGATCTAAATCATTTTGTATTTTTTGACCTGCATTGTTGATAGGGAACAAGAGATGTCTTATTATTTATGAATGTTAATATTTAGCATTCAGTTAGTGAATATCATTAATTAATAAGAAGTATAAATGTAAAATCTAAGTAAAATCAAAGAGAATGAAGTGAAATATCAACTTGTAGGTATTATCGTCTTATTAAAAATTGATATGCACGTTTAACAGCTTGAGCTCTAATTTGTTATAACGAGGATGCATGACAGATAAAATAAGTTGAGACTTTTGCATAAATGAGTTGACTTTGGAAGAGTTTGAACACAAATCATCTCGTCATCTCGTGACTGAATATATAAATATATATATATATATATATATATATATATATATATATAAATAATAATAGTGAAAATCTTTCAAATAAAAAAATTCAATCCTCTAAGAAAGTAAAGTAATTAAGGTACTTCAACCTTAATTAATCCTCAGTTCATTGAACACTAGGGAAACAAATTACAATAATCGGGTTTAATTTCTTGTTTTGTATATTTATTTACTTGCTTCACATGTATTTGGAAGTATATTATTTCATACATCGATCAATTATTTAATAAGCCGTTAAAATCCTACTAAATGGGGTCGGCTATATGGATTACATAAGTGTATTATTTCAAATGAACCGGAAAAATGGTACACATAACAGTTTATGTTAAGGACAGAAAAAAAAATAAAAAAATAATAAGGGGTACTGTTCAATTTTTAACAACGTCACATATCTAATTTTTTAATACATACAAAAGAGAGAAAATTGCATTATATAATGGATATCAATTATAAATGTGAGATTTCTTATTTAATTTTCGGTTCCGTTTGTTCGGTTCAAATATTCAGAAATTTCTTAATTTTTAAATTTCGCCACATAAGATTCCGAAAGCATGCGAGCATGCAATTTGAGCTAAGCACGTTCTGAATTAATATATAGGAGATTAGTAATATGGTGTTTAATTGATTTGAATGTCAAAATATTTATCGAAAATTTTGATGTCCTATATATATTTGATGCAGCACATCATAATGCATGTACAATGTGAAGGGGAAAGAACAAATATTCCTAATCCTAATTAACTTTTAATCTCTAAAAATAAACCCATTAATTGCTTGATCATGAATTAATTAGAACGAGCCGGGATCCCATTTTACGCCGGATTAACCGAAGAAAAAGCAAAGAAAAGAAAAATGTAATTATAAGATATAATTTATTTATTTATTTGTTATACTCGCACCTGGAATCACATGATATATGAAAAAAAAAAATAGAAAAATAAAGAAATGTAGCTTGACTTATTTCAGAATCTAATGTGATGTGCACTACCGTGTTGACTGTTAATGTGTCATTATTATTTTTTTTTAGTTTTTGTTAAATCCTTCTAACTCTGAGTTGGCACGTGTGGCGGGGGGTCATTCCCACGTGCTTTCCGTCGATTTTGAGTTCCATTTTGGAGGGAAGATACATAAACACAAATTATTATATGAAACTAGACGTGGCCACCCAGCCTGCCGGCTCGGTCAAATTCGTTGACCATGGGTTTGGGCTTGGCTCGAATTTCAACTGGGCCGGTTCAGGGTCTTATTTTTGTCGACCTTGGCCCAGCGAGCTGAGTTCGGGTCGGCACGGAAAAACACATTTGACATGTGTCAATACATAAAGTTATGGATGACTTCATAAGGGAATCATCTGATGACTCTATAACATTTCTGATAAAGCCTATTATGAAATAACTCAACTTATAATATTATCAAGAATATGACTTTTTCATTTAAAAATATGTATATATGTTAAAAAATGTACGTCGATCTTGTCTAAACAGTTATAGAAGAACGTGATTCTAATAATCTTTCTACACGACTATATGTAACTCCCCAACAACATTCTTATTCATAAAATAGAGGCAAAATTGCAAATCAAATCACAACTTTTGCTTCGTTTGAATTTATTTTCAATCGCTCATTATTTTTGTCAATAAAAAAATAATATTTAGTTTATATTTGTAAAATGGAAGCATATATGGTCAACTATTTGAGTGTTAGATGTTTTCGTGTCTGACTCGTTATATGACGTCATGAAGAGTGCGAAATAAGAATAAAATTTGTATCACATATGATCAAAGTAAAAGAAAAAATAAATAAAATTCGGGTTGAAGAACATGAACTCCATTGTTTTCATTGTTTTCATTTTTACTTAGGATTTATAATATATTATCATTTAATCAACCCTTCCAATGGATTTGTATTTAATTGATACGCCAATTAGGAGTGTTAATTAGTCAAAGTGACAACTTATTCAATTTCTATTATTTCCATAAGTTTAAGATTAGTTATTTGATATTTTATATATGTTCAGTATTTTGATGAGACATATATAGCTAAATACAAAGAATGAAGATCGATTCAAGAGATCTTTGGTGAAAACAACTTTCAAATTCAACAGAAAATCGTCTTCTTCCCTGGTTACAGTAAATTCCCCCAAATTTCGCTGTCCTTGTCCCGTTAACAAGCTTTTCGTCGTCTTCCCCGGTGGGGAGCGGCGAGTACGCGGTGGTGGTTCGCCTGTGCCTCGCAGCCCGTTTCCGAGAGTAGTGCCGCGCGGGGGAGGGGGGGCTTTTCCGCCGGGGAGTCCGTCGTGCCTGCTTTCCGGCTGTCGTCTCTGGTGCTGGAAGTGAGTGGCGGGTGGATGGTTCTCCTCCGGTTTTATCCACTTTGGTGGCCCTCTGGCGCTCTCTCGGACGGGGATGTGACTCCGATTTTCGATATAGGGTTGGGTGGGAGAAAGAGATCCGGTCAAAATTGGTTGCTTGCCGGACTGATTCAGTGGTCGCCGTCGATTGCGGGGTGGGTGTTGGGATGTGGTGGTGGCGCTGTTGGTGATTGTGGGGCTGATTGGCTGAGCTGCTCCGCTTGTGGCTGTGGGAGGGCGGCTGTTGCAGGGTCTGAGCTGCTCCGCTCGAGACTAGGGGTGGGCGGCATTTGCAGGGCTAGGGCTGGGTTTCGGTGGAGTGGTCGTTGGCGTTCATTGGGTTGGGGCTGCGTTTTGGTGGCGCGGTTGTGGGCGATTGTCGAGTTGCTTTGCTCTGTTCATGGTTCGGAGTGGTCGACAATGGCTGGGCTAAGCTTGTTTGTTTTGGCTGGGTGCATTTTCTCTGGGTGGCAGGGGGATTGTTCGCCTGGACGAGGGTTGGGCCAACCCGTGTGTTTCGAGTCAGTTAGGTGTTCTATCGCAGTTTCTGGGTTGGAATCTTGGGCTCGACTCTGCCATTGTGGTGATCGTTGTGGTTTCCGCTGTGGGAAGGGATCTCATTGTTGGTTTTTTGTCTAGGTTCATTTTTGGTTTGTATGTGTTGTTTGTGGGTGTAGGTCCGATTTGTGTCTCTAGTTTTGTGTTTTTGGTCTGGGCCGTTGGCCTCTGTGAGCTCGTGTGTCAAACAGCACCCGAGTGTCTCTTTATTACCTTGTTGGGGTCTGACACTTGGGTATTACCCTGTTGGGGTCCGACACTCGGGTATTACCCTGTTGGGGCCTTTTAGTTGTTTGTGTTGTTGGTTAGTTTAGTCGCGTGTGTTTTTATTCTAGCTTTACTAGTCGGAATTCTAGGCGGTTTTCTGACCTGTCCTCCCTGTTTTTTCAGTTGTTGGCTGCTGTAGTTTCAGCCGTTGGCTGCTGTGTATTCGCACTTTTGTGCTTTTTATTTTATAATATTTATATCGTTGGAAAAAAAAAAAAAAAGATTCAAGAGGTCTTTTTCCACCTAATATTTCCAAAACAGTAATTTAAAAGTCTGCTTGGGCTTTTTTCTTCTTCTTTCTCACCTGTGTAAAAAATGATGGAATTATAAAATCTAGAAATTTAGGGTGATTTGTGATGTAGGGAAAGCGTACGAATGGAAAGATAAAAGAGATACTCTCTCGAACTTGGGATACTCTCCCGAAAGAACACGAACAATTTTAATTCATTCTCAAAATTTACTGTTGAATAACAAATAAGAAAGGTTTAAATAAGACACCCAAACCCTAAAGTCTATCTTGTCCACCAAATCACTAAATATAAATAAATAATAATAATAATACTAATATTATTCAACATCATTCTCCCCCGGTTGAGCAGAATTTGCCCTCGAATTCGACACGTTCCCGTGGGAGTAGCCCCGATATTTCCCTCGATCGAACACGAATGTTGAAGGTCCTCCAACAACCTCGAACGTAAACAGAATCTCGGTCAAGGACATAACTGCTGTGAAGACACATGTACTCGTCACCATGCGCAAAGCCCGCAAAATTGAATGAACACTAAATACACCACTTCGTGTGCCGCGCTCAAATCCATAACAACGGCCAAGCATCCCGTTGTCGGGAGACTTCGCAAAAAGCAATCGGAAAATGGTCCACCAATTATCGGGCATCGGCTCCGGCTCCGAAGAACCATCTTTGGTCAAAATTCCCAAAAAATCGGGTGTGAATGACGGCTTCCCATTCGAAGACGTAATCGTGGCAACATCCCATGCGGGACCCTTATTACTGTAAAAATATGTTGTCGTCGCCGGAGCCTCCTCATC